TTCAGCGTGACAGCACTGATGGCCTTGGCATAGAAATGTTCTATAGTACGTATGAGGGTTCTACCCATAATGTACTTTTTCAAAGTGTCCCAGAGTTCTGCATGCCATACTCTATCGATCTTCTGTCTTTCGATACTAAGAACTCCACAGGGGAGCATGCACAGCAGTAGCCTGCGGATTCTCAGTAGAAGATCCCTTGTCGACAATTCTTTCGACCCATTATCTTCTAGACAATTTCAGAGGGTGGGCCGAACTGGGTCATGACCCCCGGGCCTCGATGTTTTCCTGCTGCACTTTACCGGATGTTTTCAGATAGGACAAGACGAAATGGTGAATATGCAACCGGTACTGTGAGATTAGAAGGGAAAGATATAAATATATATATTGTAGCTGCGGTGGTCAATTAGATCAGCCCGCTACTTTAAAGACCAAGTGACAAACTTACGGTTGGTTCATCGGACACATGTTAGACTTTGGCAACTGGCATAGGGGCAATGGCAGACATTGATCGGACACTAGGCTTTTAAGGGATACGACGTTTTTTTTCCGACTAGAAACCCGGACCAGCCTACTGAGGCCCGTCCTTTTCTCCCCCTATAGGACGTTCTATTGCATCCAGAGCCAGCTCGAAGCTCTTTAAACAGCTACGCTCAGTTGTTTTAGGGATCGTCTGCGCTCGTTTCCCCGCAAGTCCAGTTGCTTTATTACATTTTACGTGGAAGTGGAGATAAGACCTCTTGCGCCTACCTCGACGGCGAAGCTTTTGAATACGCTTCGTCTCTCCTCAGACTGGCTGTGAGATCACCGTACTTTTCGAGCTTGCACATGTGATTTCGTCCATTTGCGACTCATTGACACAGTCAGCTCAATCAGGATGAGAGTGTAGGACTAAGTCGGGTCGCAAGCCGGTCTTCTTGATCAACTCTGGGTACCTCTCGTGACCAGGCAGGTTGACAGCCAGTAACCAGTCCCTCGCACAGTTAAGTATCGATGGAGCGTATGCGACCTTGTTGAATTTACCTATATAATTCTGTCCAGCCTTGAGGAAGCGCATGCTGATAACGGTAGGACTGGTCCGCGTGTTGGTATAATAAAGACAGTAACTGACAGTTGAAACTCATACAGTGAGTGATCGCGGTGGAAGTCATCCCCAGTACAAACCAGCTGACAGCAAGCTGCTAGGCATTGTGGTCTAGAAATAGCTGCTACTAGTTATACAATCACTGATTTGACATCTTGGTTTACCTCTCTTATTCTCATTTTTAGAAATAACGACCTCGTCTTGCGTAGACAATGTTCAGAATACAATGTGCTAAATTCCAAAACACCACTACATGAATTATAGGTAACCAGAACTGACTCGTCTACACAACACATCACTATATGAATTATAGGTAGCCAGAACTGACTCGTCAACACAACACATCACTTTAATCGTTTAACTGTTTTATACGGTTGAGCAAGATTTCTGGGATTTGTACCTGCTCGATTCTCATCCTTGACATGGTAATCTTACAGAATGCAATCCTGGATGAGAAAAACTACCACCTTACCGTTACATGATCAGGCACAAATTTATGCGGCTTGTCTGGATTTTTCAGTTGCCCACAAGTAAGGGCGTGGGTGGCGGGATTTAGGGGGGGGGGTGCGGGGGGGGGGAAGAGGGTGAAAATGGTTGGAGGAACACATGTGTAGACCACGAGGCAGTCAGGCAAACATGGGGAGATATTGTACAAGCAGTCCTTCATCAACTGGTCAACTAGAGATTTGTGTGCAGGCTAGTGACATCAGCAGAAGATGCTGTTCTTCTTATCTGTTCTTTTCTTCTTCCTTCTTTTTCTTCTTCTTCTTCTTCTTCTTCTTCTTCTTCTTCTTTTGCATTATCATCATCGTCATCATCATCATCACCACCAGCAGCAGTACCACCACCTGCAGCATCAGCCTCATCATTATCATTTTAGCCAGCGGCTAAAAATATGAAAGGAGCTTTTACCTAAATATTATGAAGTCCGCCAGGCCAGATCTTAAATAACATGTATGTATTTTTTTTTTTTTTTTTTTGTCTTTCCAATTGACAGCTTACGATACAGGATGTTCTGTCAGCCCCAGCAGAGGAAACAGGTGTTGGTGATGACCCCCAAGGTTCTGCATCATATGGCGGTTTTTTTGCGAACTACGTACCGATATGCCATCCTTCAGGACATCCGTGCCAGAGTTAGCACTAAAGTAGCTGCACAATTAAACAAAACTATTGTTAATTGAAACATGCTGTTCTTATGTATTGTTAGCTTATGTTTGAACTGTCAGTCTTGTCAGACTGTGCTAGATCAATGGTTTTCACCCCAGTGGGTGCGAGGAGTTTACAATTGGAGGGGGAGGGGCCCCGGGTGTTCAAGCAGTTTTGAATTTGAGTGCACTTGTATTTATATAATCCGTGACATGTTTTTTTTTTTCTTTAGTTAAGTTATAAGTAGATCTAGCTTACCAGAATAATTAAAATTAGATGCTGAAGTCAAAGGCAACCAGCAGGAAGCGCAATGTAAAATTCAGGATGCCGCGCACAAACGATATAGGAAATAGTTATCTATTTCTGCGAAAAGACAAGTCTCAAAATCACTGGAACAAACCAAAAAAAAATTTAAAAATAGAAAACACATTAAACAAAGAACAGATACACGTAAACTGCCTTCAGGAGACCTACCTCAAACAAGACATAGCCTTTAAGATCTGAGGCTACCAATTGTACCTGTCTGACAGAAAAGACAGAGGGAGGGGTAGAATACTAACCCTTGTCAAAGATAACACATTTGCATGCCAGAAGGAAACATATATAGAAGTGGCGGATTCTTAAGCTCAAGACAGAAACCAAAGATCTACTAATCAGCTATTACTGTCCGAGCAACCGTCCCCAGGCACTGGATACAATAGTAGTAAAAAATGATTGTGTGTGGAGATTTCAACAGTCAACCAGAAAGCTGGGGCTACGATTACAGGGATCATAGGCGAGATAAACTTGATGACTTGCGGGATGAAAACAGAATCATTTTCATAAATAAGCCAACCGACCCGCCAGCCTTCTACTCAAGAGCATGGCATACCACTTCTAAGCCAGACCTAGCCTTTCTTTCCCCAGACATGGAATGGGCTATTACTAGAACTGTTGGGAAACAACTAGGATAGAGTGATCACCGCCCGCCTAGTCTTTCTAACGATAGAAAACCTGTTTCTATGAAAACGCAGCAATCAGCCAAGATGGAATTACAAGAAGACATGGAAATTCTATGGGCACTTTACAAGTGTTTTGGTTAAAACTATAAAAACGGGAGCGGGAGGGGGAGACTGTTCAGACTGTGTGCCTGTGTGGTGTGCTAGCAGAGCATACTTGAATCGTACATGTGTCTTCAGGTACGAAACTTGTAGGTTAGAGTCTCTATCTTGGAAAATTGGGAACTGTTCCGACTTTGTGTCTGCATATTGTACCAGCAAGGCATATTCAAATCGTACGTGTCTTCAGGTATAAACCTTACAGGTTTCAATCTTCCAGTTACGAAGACTGGGAACTGTTCTTACGTTGTGCCAGTAATTACTGAGCTAGTGATCCATTAGTTAAATGAGAGTAACGGAGAGACTACTCGTTAACCTTACATCAGCAATTCATCGTTCGTCCATAATAAAAGAGTCTGAATGCAGTAGTAACGCACACTTTGAATTATTTGTGAGTTCTGTTAGGGAGATGCTGGTGTTCTCATTAGACTTAACTAGTGCCACGCCCAGAAAGTAATAGCCTGAGTTAATCATAAAACCCAGATTCTTGGTAGTTGGTGAAATTGTATTTACTGCGGTATGATATTGCAACCTTTTTCACAATAATCATATTGCCAATACTCTAATAGTGTTAAGAAAAAAAATGGAAATCAAGATGAGAATGTAAATGACCTAAGCATATGCAACATGCGAAAATGATTGACAGTTCCCAAGTATACAATATTTTTTGGGGAAAGAGTACAGGAGGTGGATGGTACGGCTAAATGTGGCTGAGCGTTTTAATTATTTGTTACTCGTTATCAGCTCAGCCACTCGCCCTGTGGATCCTGAGGCGGCATTCGGAGAGCGAGGGTGGTTGGGGGGGGGGGGGAGGGGGAATAGAGGGGGAACCTTTTGCTTCATAACAAACATGTTGTCGATTAATTAAAGGCGATTCCTTTGAAGTCTGAGTGCATCTGCCTGAGAGGCGAGAAACCAGCATTCTCCAAACACATGTCAGTGTGCACGAGAAACGCCAGTTCTGGAATAAGACCAAGTCCACAATGGAAAGAACAACCAGAACTGTTCTGAGCGAACTCCCGGAACCTTTCCACTAGTTTTAACACAAGAACTTTCCCCCTAGAAGTGGGCCAACAACCGACATTTGCCCCAAGAAGTTTGCAGCAGGTGAACATGAGGAAGAAAAAGGTCTATAAAAATATGTATGTCTAGCACAATTGTCCCACTTCGCATGGGGTCAAAGGGTCATTTACTGGTGTTTTTCCAACTAACCCGATGCGCTAACGGGGTGAAGAGATTATTAATTACCTCGCTTACTACTAAGCAACATAGGGTATCGCCGCGATGTAGCGCCTAAAGGATCGCTTGATATGCTGGTCTGTTATGCGGCATCAAGGTGTCAGTGACTCCTTCAATTCATCTTATTCTCGATCTTCCTTTGCCTCTTGATGATTCGATTTTCAGGTTGTACGCTCTTGCCGCTGGCATCGTTTGTTTCACTCTCATTAGATGGCCAAACTATTTTATTCTTTGTTTCTCAATAAATGTGACGATAGGTATTGTTCCAACAGATCTTGTGATCACGTTGTTTCTTTGCTCTACTATACAACATATGTCAGGTAGTGATTTAAACAGTCGAACTAAGAATAGTAAAATGAGTATGTGAACATTTACGGCACCTATGCGCAGTGCGAAAATAGAGGCTGAAATTGACATCTACCTAATTACTACACAACCTAAGTCACTTGGTTTTTCACAAAGTCCAGTTGAGAATAATATGATGTGTCAACATATTTTGTTCCAATAAATTCATCCCTAGTATCGTTAAATAACTTCTCTTCTAGACAACCAATGACCAGTCGATCTTCGTTCAAGAAAAACTTGTTGGCGAACATCTCTCGAGCTTTCCCTAATCTGGGCAGATCACCTAAGGGGAAATAAAAGGGTAATTCATTCAGTAGAAAGCGACTCACCATGATTTATCTGACTTGTTTAAACCGTTTCTGTCTCAAGCAATAGTAGATGTGGAATTGAATTTATTCGTTGATGCCCCCTACATAGTATAATGTGATCTCTAATTTGGTAACATTTGGTTTAAAAAACGCTTTATAAAATCTGTCTTTCTCAAATAATCAATATCACTTTGTATATTGCTATGAAAGTAATTCATTTATGAATTTCTATCATGGTTTTTTTTTTTTTTCACTTAAGAATTTCCTTTGAAATATACATCATCCTGGCCTTTTCTACATATTGCCAATATAGGCAGGCCACAAATATGGCCAATTGTCTAAACGCGGTTTCTGGAACCTCTCCACGGCGATCCTCATCCACATGGTGGCACTTTGTGTCATCGGGTGTTTATCGCTTGTGTGATGTCCTGGTGGGGTAGAAAGTCAGTCAGTCAGTTCCTATGAACCTTCTGGTCCGCAGAATGTTAACTGGTTTCCCTCTTGGAATGCAGACCGAAATGGTGACACCTAGTGACCTAAGGCATTCGAATTAAATTTAAAGTCGAAAGAATCACCTTATTTCAGTAAAGTTTCACTCTTCCAGACTGGCAGTGTAAATCCTTCGTACACCGTTGAAAGTTTAGCCATATGGCATAGTTATATTTGGGCAACACAGTACAGTTACCAGGTAACCGCTTCCGATGTGGGTGGGTGTAAGAATCCACTTCGTTTGCTTCAGATTGTATAGTTAGTTAGACGTTAGTCTCCCCTGACCACGCCAGTATACATACTAGCTCCCTTTTGATTGGTAGTTCCTGAGCTCTATGACCTTCGCACACGGTTAAGGGGGTGTTCCGCAATGCCATTAATATAAGATGTTGTATATTTCAGCACGCTATCGCTTTTAACACTCCAAAATCATGGAGAACTGGGTTTAACACAGCCCTCCTAAAGAGTGCTGCAACCTATGTCATGGACATTCTCTTTCACTGAAAAAAAAACGTAAATGCAAGACATGGCAGAAACCAAACAACAGATGGGACACACCCGTAACTTTTAGGAAAGTCGACCAGCCGAATAAACTTGAGAACGAAAAATGACCTACTCTATGTGGGGAGACTAACGTTGAACTAACTGATTTTGTTCTTCAGATTTTATACTTTTTTTAATACAGAGGGTTGTATAAGGACTGGGCTGATCCCACAATAAGGAGAAATTCCACAGGAGGGCATGTACAGCAGGCATGTACAGCAGGAGTCTACCAATCGTCAATAGAAGTAACCTCTCGTCGACAAATGCTTCGGCCCACGAGCTCCTAGACGTTTTCAGAGAGTGGGCCCACCTGAGTTCATGAAGCTCAGGGTTGATTTTCTCCTGCTGCACGTTCTCGGACATAATGTAGTATAATTAGTTTACTGCAAATGCTACAACTGTAAACGAAATATGCTATCAGGGTCCTAAGAAAGGGAGCGAGATTGAATGACACGCTCAAACTGATTCTAATGTTATTGACACCGCGTTCCCCCCGACCGGGATTCTTGCCCATTATATAATAACATGATTACCTGTAGAAAGAATGCAAACTCCACGAACATATCTGCCAGCACATGTTTCGTTCGCCATCCACTTGCGTATTTTGCAGCGTGCAATGTATGGTCGATTAACGGTCATTTCTGGTTCTCCTGGGGACGGTATCGATTTTATAGCATCATTTGTGGTACATTACATCGACTCATGCAGTTCTGGGAAGTAAAGGCGGCGGGCGGGATGCTGACTACATCACCAACCAAGAACCGATTGGTCTTTACAAAATATAGGTCTAACCCTATATTGCCAATTTTCCCACAGGCCTGGAAAGGGGGCTTTTACTTTTACTTTACTGTTTGTGATACATTAGATTCCCACTTTTATTTTATGCATACAGCTAGTTACGCCAGTGGTGCTTGTGGTATATGATGTAAGAATCATATTTTATATGAAAGTGGTGTAGCAGAAACTCTAACATTTTTTTTACGCCTTGCTCTGCTTTTCTCCTCATTGTTGTTTGTGTTGTTGCTGCTGTCGCTGCTTCTGTTGCTACTGCTGCTGCTACTTTTGTTGTTGCTGCTGCTTCCGTTGCTGGTGCTGTGGCTATCTCTTTAAGCTTTTTGGCACCATCATTATCATTACTACTACTGCCACCACCATTGACACGGCCATCATCATTACCATAAACCTTATTCTATTCTTCTTCTTCTTCTTCTTCTTCTTCTTCTTCTTCTTCTTCTATTTATCTATGTGTTGGTCTTTATACGTGCCATTTCTTCTTCTGTTAGATAAGGTATTATCTTCACCACAACCGCCATCACCACCAACACCACCATCACTATTTCTCGTGTAGGTTCCAGGGCCCAAAGTTTCGGGGAAGAGGGGGGGGGGTGGGGGGGGGGAGGTTTGAACAGAGATAGACTTATTGCCCCTTAACGATTGTTGTAAGAGTCTACTAATTACGGATGCTTTCCAGGGCCCAAAGTTGGAAAAAAAAGGGGGGGGGGGTAGACTTATTGCCCCTCAACAATTGTTGTAAGAGTCTACTAATTAGGGATGCTTTCTTTGAAGTCTGAGTGTGTCTTCCTGAGAGACGAAGGACCAAGTATCTGCATACAATAAACCTGATCTGTAAAACAGATGTGCTGACAAAACTCAGCTCCTGGAACAAGACCAAAATCCAGAAGACTCTCTCCGTGCGCGCGCGAGCGAGCGTGTGTGTATGTGTGTGCGTGTGTGTTTCTCTGTCTCTCTCCCCCTCTCTCAGTCTGCCTGTGTGTCACTGTTTGTCACTCTATGTGTATATCCCACGTTGTTATGCCCTCTGTTTCTGTCTTCAACTGTCACTCACAGGAAGACATCATATGGCATGGATTCTTCTTTCACACAGTGTTGGGGTTAAAATGTAGGCCTTAAAAGCTTCGCCTTCGGCCCAAAAACATTCTGCTGTGTCCAGCTAGTAATTAGTCATGCTGAACGACATGTTAGTTATGGGGAATAGGACTCCATTCTCCTTCGCCCTAACACCCCACCCCCAAACCCAAAGGATCCCTGTACCTACACGTGAAGCCTGGATTGTGTTATGTTAAATAGTATAAACAAACGAAAGAAAGCGTTGTGACAGGAATATACCACCAATGGCAGTGCCATAGAACAGTCATAACACCACCGACATATGGTGCCAGCTCCAGCGTGTAGAGGTTTGCCTGGTGACTTGGAAGTCTACGGTTCGAATCAGCACTGATGCTTTCTTATTCCTAAAAAATTATCCTGGCTGAGCTCGAACCGCCTCAAAATGGGAAGCAAAGGCAGCTGGGTTAATTTTATGCTCATCACTCATCAAGTGCTTATATGACTTCCAAAATATGAGTACATTATTTCAGATAAACCATTAGTGTCACCCCCCCCCCCCCACCCCCCACAAAAAAAGCACTTGATTTTTTTTCTTTATCGTGGGAATTAACTAATTCATAGCTGACCTAAATATGTGCCTTTGATTCCAAGTTGAGGGTTGGCATTAAGGGTAGCAAAGAAGGTCTCATCCGGAACTTTTGTGGATTTCGTCCACTTCAACAGTGCAGCAGCTGTTGAGTTGTTAAGTACATAATTCACGAACTCCCTGCAATTTATAACACAATTTAGTCAATACATGGTCATGTTGCAATCTATAGGACTGCCATATGATGTTACCTGAATACTTATACTGGCCTTTGCTTCGTTAATATAAACTTATGTAACCTATGATAAAATGTCAATAGTTTAGGACGAATTATACACATATTTAATAGTTGTGGTAGTAGTTCAAGTCGTATGCTATACATGGCCAATAATGAGACCATTTGTTAATGGGCGTCAAGTTGGTCAAGTATCTTCGGCAGCGAGGCGCACGTGCTATTTAGGGTTAGAGGTTAGATTCCCGGCACGGTAACTATAACTTTCAATTTTTGAACTGTCTAGAATGTCGTTTTTATCTTTCTACTTCTCGGTATGAGTGCCGATCAATACATCGCCTGTTTGTTTATTATGTATAATCCATAAGTTACAAATAGTGATTTTCCCAAGTATACACAGATGGCTCCACCCTGCCAGCAGGGGTCGTGTTCTTTAAGATGAACAAATACCTGTGGACCACAATATGAACAGGACCTTTCATAGGTTTTATACCAAAAGGTGGAGTGGTGTTGTTCCATCTATCGAAATTGATTCTGAAATGGAAAGAACAAAACGGTTAGCGAAAAATATAGGCTCGTAGAGCAAATCTTACTGGGAGTATATTTTTGCCTTGGAACCCAGTGCAATCATTTACATCTGATTTTATATATTTTTGTATGTGTATACATTGTCGATGTTAGACTGGGGCTCATAAAGGCAGGAAACAATTTGTTTCGTAACCTATCATGCATGTTTTAAAGACATGTTTTATATATATATATATATATATTGTCCTTCCGTCTCTGGGATTGGCCCTCTCTTTCCAATCGGTGATTCCTAATCTCTCTCCACCACTTTCTTGTTCTGCCTTATGGTCTACTCACAGTAAGAACTTCCGTGTAGGCAATGTTCATCTTTTCATTTTTTGTCTCTCTCTCCTCCTCTCTTTACGTCTTCTATATGATGTTTCACTTATATTTACTTCTCGTCCTTTTTAGGATGAAATTTTTCGTTATTTCAAGCCTTACTCTGGCTTTTGCCAGAGGCCACAATATAGACTGTCCATAAATATGGCTTAAAGGCTGAACGCGTTTTTTTGGACCTCTCTACGGCGATCCTCAGCCACATGGTGGCACATTGTGTCATCAGGTGTTTGTCGTTTGTGTGATGTCCTGGTGGGGTAGAAAGTCAGTCAGTCAGTCGTCTCTTTAGTCTCTCTCTCTCTCTCTCTCTCTCTCTCTCTCTCTCTATTATATATATATATATATATATATATATATATATATATATATATATATATATATATTACATACAACATGGCAAGTCACAATATTTTTTAAACAAAAAGCCAGATTTATTCAGCAAACACAGATTAAACTTATGATTATAGCAACACATCATGAGCTTCTTTAAAGACGTTGACAATAACCAACCATCTGAATAAAAAAAGACCCCGTGTCACCCCTGTGGAGCATCAGGTAAATGATGCTAAACACATACTTGGATTGACCAATCGGTAATTGTTGCATACTGATTACTGATTTGGTAATCGGCAATAAAGCATATATGGCAAAGCAATAGTTGCGCTGTCTCGCAAAGGTCCTAAACTGTATAAACTATCGGTTCTAGTAGCACATGAAATAGCTACCTTTCCTTACAAAGATATTTCTGAAATATTTTCCAAGGTATGGCTCTCAGACTTTTCTACACACTCTTGATAACCGCCACAATTAGTTAGAGCAGTAGAATCATTAGTAGCAGCAGCAGCGATTGTAGAAGAAGCAGAAGCAGAAGAATCAGCGGTAGAAGTAGCAGTAGAATCAGCAGTAGTAGCTGCAGTGGCGGAAGCTGTAGCTGCAGCAGTAGTAATAGCAGTAGAAACAGTAATAACAACAAAGTAGCATCATGAGTAATAGTAATAGTAGTAGTTGCGCCAACAATATCAGCAGTTGCAATAATAGTAATAGTAGTAGTTGCGCAAAAAAATATCAGCAGTTGCAGTAATAGTAGTAGTGATTGCGCAAACAATATCATCAGTTGCAGTAATAGTAATAGCAGCAGCAGCAGAAACCAGCATTGGCAATATTAGCAGCTACAAGTTTTGTGACTAATAAATACTCACCTTTTCCTCCACGTTGACACATCGATGGCACCATTGAACGCTTTCAGAATCCTCACAAGTTCAAAATTGGTTTTCAGCGCGAACTCTTGACCCGTTAAGTTAATGAAGTATTTCCATTTGGGATACCTCCACAATTCTTTCATACACAGCAGTTCGGGCTCAAGAACACTAAACGTACCCCACCGAACAGAGATTCTGACGGAAGTCAAGAACACATTGGGAAAGCAGCTAACGATAGCTGACATTCCACTATAAAACTCAACTGTTGATTTCTGATCTACATGGACACAGTAGTAATTCTGAGGACGATATATGGCTCTTAGTAGACGCTCAACCATCTCCAGGTCTTTGTAAACGAGCAAAGAATACGCCAAAGGAAACTCCTCCTCTTCTTCCGTCAATGACAACATAATATATCCCCGTGTTTTTTGGAATCTGCTGCATTTAGAAGCCAAATCCACGTACTCTATATCTGTTATAGGAGTTCCAATATGTCGTTGAGAAGCATTAAGTTTATTAACAACGTTATGGGAACTGCTGAACAAATCTTTACAGGCTATGCCGTTCACTTTCATTGCAGAGGCAATGCTTGCGACGTAGTTTGTTAGCAAGAGTTTAGAAGTCGGTACAGCAGTGACTGTATGTTGTAGACTTCGAAGATGTATCACATAGATAGCAGTCGCCAAATAACATATAAGGGTGATTGTCCAGCAAATGCTCCTGCTGAATACAGTATTATGCTGTAGTCTTAGCAATTGTAACTTCCTAGAATCGGAAAACAAGTTAAAAAATATAACATTAGAAGTCTAAACATCACATGCATATACTATCACTTATTTCCTCGCGCGTAAAATTTTCAAGTATTAGACCGCATACACACACACAGAGAGAGAGAGAGAGAGAGAGAGAGAGAGAGAGAGAGAGAGAGAGAGAGAGAGAAAGAGAGAGAGAGAAAGATAAACATAAATGCACTGTATATGAATAGACAAGCACGCACACATAAACATAGCCCATACACACACACACACATTCACACACACACTCACACACACACACACACACACACACACACTCACACACACATATATATATATATTGTGATATGTATACCAACCCTGACATCCTACATATGCCAAAGGCATCAGGCAGAGAACGGCATTCAGAAGGATACAAGTATACCCTAGGACGAGGACATGTTACCGGAACATTTAATATTATGGCAAATCAGATCAGGTCCTTTGCCTTGCAGGTCTAGCGGGAAAGCTCCAATATAACAACAGAGAAAAACATGCTGTTCTGAGAAAGATGCTGCAACAGGCTTTATTTCAAAACTATTAGGGTTACCAAAACACCTAAACAGTCAGAGAAAGGGCATTGCTTTTTTTTTTTTTTTTTTTTAAATTGTGTTAATACCCTTTTGTCTGTTTTTGACTATGTGTTAGTAACTTTTTTAACAGTGATTAAAGAAAAACTACTTTTTGCTCTGACTCAGGGTTTCCCCCCTTTTCGGAGATTATTGCTGGAATTTTCAGAACGTTACAGGGTAAGAATCCACAGTTCTGATGAAAATGCTTCACACAAAATTATTATGTTCTTATGTTTCCATGCTGAGTCATAGTTTATGTTGCAAAATGATTTTTGTTTTTCTCAAGAGGTTTGTTTCTGCATAAAATATATTGTTCAGTTGATGGTTTGGAAGCATCTTCTGTATTTCTAACTGATTATGAATTCCTAAAGACTTCAAAAAGTCGTGTGTTCGGGTCCTGACTTTTATTTTCCAAAATGACTTCGGCTTCCAGATCGACCCGGCCTTGAATGTGTAGCAGGTACAGTTTGGGGAAATAAAGATAGTCGTCGTAATGTTGACTAAATCAGCCACCAAGTACTGATTGGTCTATAAACTATAAGTGTAGAACTAGATGCCAAATATGCTAGAAGGTATGGAAAAGTTTTTTTTTTTTTTTTTTTACATTTTCAAAGGCTGAAAGACAACAATTGTTGTCGATCTATCTATCTATCTATCTATCTATCTATCTATCTATCTATCTATCTATCTATCTATCTATCTATCTATCTATCTATCTATCTATCTATCTATCTATCTATCTATCTATCTATCTATCTATCTATCTATCTATCTATCTATCTATCTATCTATCTATCTATCTATCTATCTATCTATCTATCTATCTATCTATCTATCTATCTATCTATCTATCTATCTATCTATCTATCTATCTATCTATCTATCTATCTATCTATCTATCTATCTATCTATCTATCTATCTATCTATCTATCTATCTATCTATCTATCTATCTATCTATCTATCTATCTATCTATCTATCTATCTATCTATCTATCTATCTATCTATCTATCTATCTATCTATCTATCTATCCTATCTATCTATCTATCTATCTAATCTAATCTATCTATCTATCTATCTATCTATCTATCTATCTATCTATCTATCTATCTATCTATCTATCTATCTATCTATCTATCTATCTATCTATCTATCTATCTATCTATCTATCTATCTATCTATCTATCTATCTATCTATCTATCTATCTATCTATCTATCTATCTATCTATCTATCTATCTATCTATCTATCTATCTATCTATCTATCTATCTATCTATCTATCTATCTATCTATCTATCTATCTATCTATCTATCTATCTATCTATCTATCTATCTATCTATCTATCTATCTATCTATCTATCTATCTATCTATCTATCTATCTATCTATCTATCTATCTATCTATCTATCTATCTATCTATCTATCTATCTATCTATCTATCTATCTACCTACCTACCTACCTACCTACCTACCTACCTACCTATCTATCTACCTATCTACCTATCTATCTATCTATCTATCTATCTATCTATCTATCTATCTATCTATCTATCTATCTATCTATCTATCTATCTATCTATCTATCTATCTATCTATCTATCTATCTATCTATCTATCTATCTATCTATCTATCTATCTATCTATCTATCTATCTATCTATCTATCTATCTATCTATCTATCTATCTATCTATCTATCTATCTATCTATCTATCTATCTATCTATCTATCTATCTATCTATCTATCTATCTATCTATCTATCTATCTATCTATCTATCTATCTATCTATCTATCTATCTATCTATCTATCTATCTATCTATCTATCTATCTATCTATCTATCTATCTATCTATCTATCTATCTATCTATCTATCTGCATTATTGATAACAGGTATTAGTACTCTGAAAAATGAGTACTTAGAAGGGCCGAATGTCAGATGGGCCTGCGTGCCCAATTTGTAACCCTTTGAAAATAAAGTGTGTTCGTTCGTTTGTTCGTTCGTTCGTTCTATCTATCTAATCTGTCTATCTATCTATCTAATCTATCTATCTATCTATCTATCTATCTATCTATCTATCTATCTATCTATCTATCTATCTATCTATCTATCTATCTATCTATCTATCTATCTATCTATCTATCTATCTATCTATCTATCTATCTATCTATCTATCTATCTATCTATCTATCTATCTATCTATCTATCTATCTATCTATCTATCTATCTATCTATCTATCTATCTATCTATCTATCTATCTATCTATCTATCTATCTATCTATCTATCTATCTATCTATCTATCTATCTATCTATCTATCTATCTATCTATCTATCTATATAAGTTGGGTTAGTTGCGTATCCTTTACAGGACGTTGCAGAACCAACCCCTGCAGCTCCTGGCTATTGTGTGGTTTCTCTAGGGAAATTTTGTCCAGTAGTTTGCCATTGCGCTGGACGGTCAGCACCCCTGAAACCACTGTCGAAACCAACGCAAGGCATATATATATATATATATATATATATATATATATATATATATATATATATATATATATATGTATATGTATATATATATATATATATATATATATATATATATATATATATATATATATATATGTATGTATGTATGTATGTATGCGTTTCAAATAATTATTTAAGCCAGTGTGAATCCCCGTGTAGCAAGATGAATAGAAACTTCATACTCACAGTTTAAATTTCATTATTTCTTGTCGAAACTCTGACAGAGCAAAGGCCACATGTCAGACTGAAGGATACAATTTTGAATATGCTGGTAAAGTTGTTTATTTCAAGATTACAAATATATAGTATATACAAATGCTCATCCATATATAATAATGCAATATCCACAGAAACAATTGTATGTTTACTGCATAAAATGTGTATTCACATATAGACAAATATATTAGCAGACATAAATGTTTATCCACGGATAAAATGGATACCCACAGGAACAAATGGGTACCCGTAGATACTAATGTATTTCAAAAATATGTGCCGCCTTGACAATAAAGGTTGGATATATTGCCCCCGCTGCTATCTTTGAGAAGTATTACTGTGATGTTAACCCAACAGGGTGGAATTTGTACACTAGTGCTCTTTCTTAAGAAAGATAATTGTTGCTTTTGAGCTGAAATGCTACGGAAAGATTCTATGAATAGCACATACATAGAAAAGAAGAAATACTGACATTGTACAAGATCTGAACATCAAGAAAGATTGGCTAATAAATAGAGACTTGTATCGGAAGCTGAAATATTTTGGAGGGCTGGGGAAAATTTTAATTGTAGAAGGCACGGTACCAGGAAGGAGGGGCAGGACCGACCATCGCGAATATGGCACAGGATATGAGTGATTCCTTGAGTATGAAAGTACTTAAGACGAGAGAGCTGGCGAGAGACAGTTTCATACAGACCGTGATGAGAGCGACTTTCTGCAAAGGACCTGCTACATGATCACGATGACTCAAGGATGAAAACTGATAAACGCATTAACTAACCTCCAGGCGAAACGGTGGCACTATTGTATATTCACGGAAAAAAAGATATATGTACAAAAAAAAGTATATAAACAGATAAAAACGTACACCCATAGACAAAAAAGCATTTATCTGCACATGAAAATAAGGTCTTGGTTTCGAGTCCTGACGATGCTGGAGGATTTTCAGAAACGATCCTGGCTCCCACACTTCCACCCAGCCTTGAGTGGAAACCAGATATAATCCTAGAAAGTAAAGGCGGCCGGCGTGATGTTGAATGCATCATTCACGGATTGCCATTTGGTCGATAAATTACAGGTATTAACTTATATGCCCGAAACGCATGAAGAGGTGGAAATGATTCTTTTTAACTGTATAGTTGAAACGATTTTTTTGCATGTAAAAATGTACATCCGCAGATAAAACTGTATATCCAGGGGAAAAGGTAGACTGTAGATAAAACAGTAATTCCACATGTAAAAAAAGTAATTCTCAAATAGTAATGTTTATCCACAAATACTAATGTATACACAAACAGCCTAGACAGTTGGATGCCAGTATTTACGACCCTTCTGGTAAGGTCACGAAGTTCTTGGCTCCTGATGATTTTGAAGAGCATGGATAGTGCTGTCGCCACGGACCCTGCAGGCTGCGATTTTATTCACACACACACATACACACACATGCATTCATACATGCAGAGATACATACAAATATACATACACAGATACACATATACATAGACACCAATTTATATATATATATATACATAGATGTGTGTCGGCGTCTGGGGCTTAGGTGTGTTGCGAACACGCTCCATAATGCCAGATTGCCGGGTTCGATCCTGGATGCAGACGATTTTTAGCCTTGCGTTGGTTTTACAGTGGAATAGAGAGCAGACCATGACAAAGCAATGGCACACTACTAAACGTAAAATTTGCAGAAAAATGCAAAGGTTAGTTCTGCGACGTCCTGTAAAGGATACTCTGGTTCTTTATTAATATTCTACCCCAGATGACGTCAAAAGACAGTGCAACATTTTAGAAGGCGGTAAGTCTGGGTTTCCTGACTTTCTGATGCTTTTAACGGCCCCAAAACATATAGTGCTGGCCCTAACCCCAATCCACCTACGTTTCACAAGTCAGTACAGTCTAGGCCTCACGACTGCATGCAGTATATCTACCACTCCCCCCCCCCCCCCCCCACCCCCGAATTATAAGACTGTCCAGTGACTTTTAGATTTATACTGTTTAAGTTAGGATATTAATAAAGCACCGGATACTCAGTTAACTTTTTGAACACACACACACACACACACACACACACATATATATATATATATATATATATATATATATATATATATATATATATATATATATATATATATATATATATATAAATGCACACATGGATGAAGATGTACGATGAAAAACTATGTATCCACAAATTAAACTACACTCCAACAGAATAATACATTATCCTTTCAACTCGGACTAAACTTGAGTCAAGTTAAAATAGCAACAACTTTGTGTGTTTCTACTGTACACACTTTTGTAACTTTGTTTCTGGTACACGTAGACACACTGGCGCATAAATATGTATTGACAAACGCGTATAGGTATCGAAAGCGGATGGCATAAGTAGGCGGTAACAGATGTGCTAATTTTAATTTAGAAAAAACTTGAGGGGACACACACAAAAAGGGTTGGGGAGGGGCGGTAGGTCCAACAACCAAATGAGGCTTTTAATCTTTAGAAGCTGTCTCCTTTTGCCGAATGTTTCTCCTTCTCGCTTCCTTTTCTCTGCATTCTCATCACCATCCTCCTTGTCCTCGTCTTCCTTTTTCTTCTTTATGAGGATGTGTGTATGTATGTATGCATTTGTATGAGTGTGCTAGTGTCTGTGTATGTATGGGCATAAAAGTGCGTGTGTGTGTGTGTGTGTGTGTGTGTGTGTGTGTGTGTGTATATTCAAAGCCTGTATTATTGTTTAAACATAATTTGTGTATGCAATATTTCATTAGGTGTATTTTTATCTAAACATAACATGCATTATTAATATTTGGGGTCTGAATGATGTGTGCTTGGAAGGACAAGATGTAAGACAGGCCTGTGTGTCAATTTTGTAGCCCTCTGAAAATGAAGTTGGTTCCTGCGTTTGTTCGTTCTTCTTCTTCGTCTACTACTACTACTACTACTACTACTACTACTACTACTACTACTACTACTACTACTACTACTACTACTACTACTACTACTACTACTACTACTACTACTACTACTACTACTACTACTACTACTACTACTACTACTACTACTACTACTACTACTACTACCAGTAGTAGTACTACACCTTCTCCCCTCCTCCTTCTACTCCTCCTCGTTATTATTCTCCTCATTCTCATTATTTTTCTGTGATACATCACTGCATTTTCCAACATAATCCTCATAATGTAGTCCACTTTCATACCTAGCACACCAGGAATAAAACTGCTGCAATGTTTTCGATTTCCCTAGATGCGTTTAACATTCCTCTTTGTTATAGTTTAAGAACATACGTGCAAGGAATAGTTTTAAATTGTGTTCATAAAGGTTGTTTCAATGCCAACTATGATCGATGAGGAAGCAACAGATGGAGCAGTATAGGCGATCGATGTCAGTTTAATTGTTGTTGTGTTTACCACACAATCGATGTCTGATAACAGGACTATTGGCTTACATTATTCATCTGATTAATTTAGGCGCGGGTTTTTTTTATTTTTTTTTATTTTTGTAATTATTGAAGAGAGCCTTTGGGATGTAGCCGGTCGGTTCAAAGATTTATGGGTTAACTTCGCATCAAGGTTAATTTAAAACTAAATTATATTGGTTTCCGTGTCGACTTAGATTAGATAGGTAAATAAAAAAAATGTTTAACAAAAATATTTTGCTAGCATGATGTTGAAAACCTCATACATCTTACGCTGATTTATTTATAAAGAAAATAATTCAGCAACACTATCTTTTGCCATTATGGCGTGAAACAGGACCTATATTAGTTTATATTTTATTTTTACGTTTATATGTGTCTAATTTATCCTTTTGAGTTCACCACCGATGCTATGGTTTAATTTATTGTTAACGGTTTTTTTTCTTAGTTTTTCTTTTTTTATATTAAAATAAGTTAATATGAAAAAAAGTTGTTTACATTAAAAAAAAACATTATTACAAGGACATGATTATTACAGGTTGCATACCAAATTTCAAAAACTGTATATATATATACTATGTATTTGTAATCTTGAAATAAACAACTTTACCAGCATATTCAAAATTGTATCCTTCAGTCTGACATGTGGCCTTTGCTCTGTCAGAGTTTCGACAAGAAATAATGAAATTTAAACTGTGAGTATAAAGTTTCTATTCGTCTTGCTACACGGGGATTCACACTGGCTTAAATAATTATTCGAAACGCATATATATATATATATATATATATATATATATATATATATATATATATATATATATATATATATATATATATATTCAAACTTACCATAAAAGGTTACTAAATAACAGATTTTTAAAGCTGAATACGATTTCTGAAAAGGACTACAGTTATCATGAATCGATTGAGATCGGAAAATCAAGAGTTAACGCTGAAAAATATGTATGCACACATAGGACATCTACAAATAATCTCTTACGGATAAAAGCTTATATTCATGTTAACTGGGTGTTTTTCTTAGCAAGTTTGTGTTAACCAGGATTTACTGTACTCTCTTTGTGTGTTACATAGTGTGTCTCTGGTTTATATTAATGTCAAAAGCACCGTTTGATCTCTAGTTTATTTGGCTATGACTTAACGACTAGAGATTCTATTCAAATGTAGTATCCTTATATAGGTTGACGACTCTAGGTTAGACTGTGTTGTCTTTATATTCAAAAATGTCATAGTGAAAGCATACGATTCAGAATTCTACCAATGATGAGCAGAGGTCCCACTTCAACAACTGTTTTGTTTGTTTAACCCCTGAACATTCTCATGTGAGTTCGCCACCCCGGGTATGACTCCACGGGTCGCGGGACTCTCGTGCTGTGCTTCCACCAGACAAAGCAATACATGGTTATAGCAACTGACACTTGACTGCCTATGGTTTCAATGCTAGTGCGCACCAACCAGATGCAATGCACGGAAACGCACCAGGCTAGCCAGGAGTGAGCCTGCTTCTCACACTTGCCAACAGCCTGGTTGCCGGATAGGAGACTGGATCGTCAGAAGCCAAACAGTTGCGTCACGTGCCCTGGAGAGAAAGAGCTCTTCTCTAGATCTGGAAACATGCGAAAGCTCACAGCTTTCAGGTTTCGGTTTGCTGCAGGCTATTCTACCACAGCACGGCTGTATCAGTTGTTAATCATTGTTGGGTGATGCATAGGTGCAGGTACAGCAGCAGCTGAAGGACACTGGGAACGACATAACATATTTTCAAAAAATGAAATCACCTTGAAGAAGTACTATTGCGAGCTTGACCGTGTTAATAGTGTCACGACGATTGTAAGCCCAAACACCTAAGCTCTCGACAGCTCAGTACATACTCCGCAAGACAAAGAGAAAAGAACCATCACTAAAGAGTGTGGAATAAACCTCCATTTGCGACGAATGCAGGCTCACTCAAGAATAGGAATGCGGTTAAACACAGTGAAAGGCCGAATAGTGATAGTGACACTAATGGTGACTGAATAACCAAGGCCCGTTTCACTCAAAAATCATAAATGATGGCAAAATGTTCTGCATATTCGTCGATGTTGGGAAGTACCGTTAGAAGGAAGTAGTAGAAAGGTACATGTTAAAAAATGGATAACGCCAGAATCAACAGGCCAGCTGACCTACGAAGAATTCGATAATCCAAGGAGAATTTTAGCCCCATCCTATTATCTAAAGTTCCTATCACTTTACTCTTACATGCTAAGCCCGGTGGAGAACATGTTCTCGAATACAAAGTCCTATGTTAGGAGTCTGCTGTGCAACCGGAGACCGGATCGGTCACTAAGCGCAGTTACTGGAGAGATCATTGTAACAAAAACCTAGCAGGGCTGTAGCGTTAATATCCTTTGGGTGATGGTGTCCTTGACGACGACAGCAGCGGAACGGCCTTTCATAAACTGATTTTAACTTGTCCCTAGTTTTCTTGTAGACTGATTCAACTCTTTGTCAAATGCTCAAGTCTGTTGGCCAAGGAATGTTAATTATCGAGAATATATTTAAAAAAAAAAAACATAATAATATTAAACTGTGACTTGTCTGATTTGGAGAATGTTTTGATTTGGAAAAAAAAAAGACAACCAACAAAAAAAAAAAAAAATTTAAAAATAAAAACATGTGGATTGAAAATTGCCCAGTTAGGGTTGTACAGCTTCCTGGTTTGTTTAAAAATCGCTTACTTTGGTTTATTATTCTAAAGTAAAACAGAAGTAAAGATCCCTTTTCACGCCTTAGGCGCATCGGGTAAATAGGAAAAGCATCCCATATTTTTTTATCAGACCAATCGGCACTAGATGGACGATGTGGTAGGCATTACACCGGCCGTCCTTACTTCCCCAGGACAGCCATCCTGTTACCAATTTCAGCCTGGGTCAAGCTGCGACGCCCCAAACCATGATAAAAATTAGAATTACGAGTCGGACTCGCAAAGCTTCAGCCACGGACGCCGCTTTAAATCGTCCTAGGTGGTTTAAAAAGCATCCAGTTTAAAGTGTACATGATGTACACTGTGTCACATTTACTTTGAAAAATGTTCTTTCTGAGTTGACAATCATTCAGTTTTTATTTTTTTTTATTTTTAAGTGGTTTGAAAATGGAAGCGATTAATTTGGAATGCGTCTTACTTGGTTTGAGAAACGTTCGGTTCGATTGAAAAAAGACTTCTTTGGTGCTTTGCAAATCGTCCAAATTGGTTTGAAAAGTATGAAGTTTAAAGTAAAAATGGCATGTATGTGAGTTCATATATATATATATATATATATATATATATATATATATATATGTGTGTGGGTGTGTGTGTGTGTGTGTATGTGTGTTCCTCGTAGACGTACACCTGATAGAAAGGTGTCGTATTTATGAGCACGTTGTGTCTAAGCTTTCTCTTAGCCTGCTCTTCACAACACTAGACCTTCTGAACCTACTATTAGCCCTAAAGTAAATCAGAAAATCCCCAACACAGTTAACACAAACCAACAAGTCACCAAAACACATGATCACATCTTTCAGTGGCTTCTCGTGCTCTAGCGATTTACTTTGACAGACCCATATTGAAGCGAAACCAAACCCGTTACAAACAATATAGAGAACACAAATTCCCAGCAACGTTTTCGTTGTTCGTAACGTGCTTCTCCTTGGGATTAGATTGATCTGACTGGATGTCATCTGACGGCGTTTGTTTGTTATATGTATGACCTCTAACCCGATAACAACACAGCCAATTGTTACTAGACTAACTGGTATTATTCCGGTTAGGTAATTGGCAATGCTTTCTATAATTTCATCCATGCCACTTCTCAAAGCGTTGACGTAGAAATCGCTGAGTACCAGCGCGTCCACAGTGACACCCTTC